TTTTCGCGTTGCGCAATTAATCATCGTACACGTGGACGATGAACGTGGGAGAAAATAATGTCGACGTCGACGACGGGGCGGTTTTGTTCCCGGTGAATGGACATGAATTGCGCATGTATGTCGAAAGCGTAAACGGCGTAATTTTCGAGTTCCTCTCCCGAGTCCATCATTATCCGAGCGTGCGTTTTGCGTCACGTCGTAATCGACCGCTTAATACAACGTTCGTCGCGTGCGTTTCGTACATACGGTAGAAAGTTTTACGGGAGGCTTTCTTGAGGCACTATGCGGCTATGTAAGAAAATTAATTGCGTTGTTGCTTGTAATTTTTAAGAACGAAAAGTTTTAAGTCATACTTGGTTAGTTTCACCCGGAATAAAAAAAAATGTATTTCAATAACAGCTGAGTAATTGCAGTCGCATTAATAATCGGTATAATAAGCCGATATCTCTTTGGACACCAGTCGATAAGGATTACATATATCTGTATATAATACTTTCGCTTTGCTTCCTAAATGATTCAATGTCACCGTCTGAACTATTGCGTCGACGAGCGGCCAGTCAACTTTCAATGTTTCTAGCCGAGAAATGTCACTGGAATATATCAGGGATCTGTCAGAGGTTCGTTAGAGACAAACGTCATATCTTGTTCATGAATGAAAAACTCTGTGAAAACTCGTTTCCAAGTAACCTTTCACGAAATGTCACCAGAGTTCTTTTCTTTTGAAGCCACTTCATATTCCATTTTGCAAATTTAGTTGACGCGATTTTTTCTCCTTAACTCATTTTAATTTCCTAGGAATATATTTCGCGAATTCGCTACTATTTCTCAAAAGTTTTCTCCATTCTCTCGGGAATACCAGCTGGTTTGCATGATATCCGTGATAATTTAATTCACTTCCGCATTTGTTTAATATTATATATAATAAATTTCTAGGCTGTTATTCTCAATTAATTTAAGAGAAATGATTTATTAATCTTATAAAAAAAAGAACCTCTAACGTTAAAGAGTGTAACGACAATTAATCACATTAATGGAATGTAACGCGCTAATTATGTAGCTGAGCACATTAATTATACGTAATATAAAAATAAGAGAAGCGCGGCGCGAACGTTCCCTTTCCGGTTGCAAAGTGTCTGCAATTTCACGAGTTTAAAAAATCTCGCGCTAAAATTATATACGGTGAAATTTGTGCGTCCAAATCTCGAATGTCCTTAAAACCCACGCATTATATATGTGCACCTTCGATTTCTGTCTGAATGACCGAGCAGCGACTCAAAAGTGTGTCGCAACCTAAAAAACGTCTGATTTCACCGAGTTTTATTTTGTTTTATCTTAAATATATCAAATTATATATAGATCGAACTATATACGATTTTACATCAACGATTGCATTTTGCATCAACAATTTTTTCGTCTTGTGATTAATGTATGTATATCAAATGTTTCTACGGATATCTAGGCTCATCTGAGATTGTAAATGATCGTTGTTAGATTCGGTTTAACCGGTTTTCCAGAGAAGAGTGAAAATTTTGATAATCATCATCGAATGATCATCGATAATTGAGACTTACGGGATAAAAAAATATCGCACGTGACAGCGCGAAATTGAATCGTTGCAATTTTCTTCGCGGACTCGTGTCGATCGCGATTTGCATTAGGACGAAAATAAATTTGTAATTGGCGTCGCGCTAATATTTATGAGGTCGCGTTCCATCGTTTTCTAATGCCGTGACGATGAAGGAAAGTAAAAAGCGACAATCGGGTCAGGGTCTCTTTATTTGTTGCTTTTTGCCGCTGTCACGCGTCGTTGGATACCATCCTGCCAATCTTTGATAGAAGATGTGTATTCGAAGGCCTTCGAGGCATCCGGCGGATCCTTCGCGATCCACCCTTCCTTTCTGGAAAAGGAGATGACCGTTTATAAAAGAATTAGGGTCGCGGATATTAATTGTTATTAACGACCTAGATGCATCTCAATGTCTTTAATTTCTGCTTTCACATTATTACATACTTATGCTATTAGATTCTATAAGAGATCCTGTATAATTTTAATCAATAAATTATATTTTATTTCAGGACATTTTAGTATGTGTATACACTCTATATAATATGTTATTTATATATATTATTTTTATTATATAATTTTAATATTTATATTAAATACTTAAATAAAGATATTAATATATATATATATATATATATATATATATATATATATATATATATATAATATATATTAATTGATCTATATTTTTTAAAAGTATTATTTTGTTTGTCATTATTACTGTTATAAGATGACAGTTTTATTTATCAATAATATTATCAAGCGAGTGGCGAATTAATCGAATGCAAAATCATGGGGCGCTCGGAAGAAGATTTGCATAATCCTCGTCCTGCTTTGGTGCACGGGACCTCAAGTATCTGTGATATGATGATTCTGTATACATTCACATACATCACCGCTAGCAGACGCTTTCGCAAGATTGCGGAGCTATTAAGATCGAACGTCCATAACGATGGCCGACGATGGGTGATTGACCGATCGCTAAACTAGGCTTCGGCTGTATCTCGCCCGATGTTTCATCCGCTTTTCCCGGCCGAACACATTCACAATCGAGAATCGCTTCCGGTTCGTTAAATCGCCCGGAAGAATGCGAGAATTTCCGCGAAATCGGTATTCTTTCTCTCTCTCGCGGATCTCTATACGTACAATTGATTCTTTTTCATGGCCCGATTCTCACTCATAAATTGCATCGTAAAAAAGCGATCATGTATTATTCGCGCGATTATTCGCCGTTTCACTTTTCGCGTTACAATAATAAGAATAATAGTCATAATAATAATAATGCCGACGACGATACATTAGGACCGAGGGCGGATTAGAGTCCGATGTTCCAGAGAAAGTACAACGATTGGTCATAGGAATAAATTGCTTCTTAACAAATAGCGTAGAGTGATTAGAACAACTTGAAGTGAAAGGAAATGAGTTAGCAAGAGAGCGAGATTATAATTAAAAATCCAGTTTGAATTCATCTTTCAATTCCGTTCGGCTATTGTTCCGATGACTGACTCACCGAGAATAAGGTGAAAAAAAATTCTTATCGAAAGAAATCAATGAATCATACATATATCGATTTTATTTTACACGGTATACTGATTCATGCTGAAAGTAGAATTGTGAAACAGGATATTTCGAATGCTTTTCTCAAAGCAATCTCTCAGTTTTATTATTTTCTCTACTCTTTTTTCAGTTACATTAAAATTCCTTGCGTAGCATTTACATTTACACAAATATCAGCGAAATAATTATAGAAATAATCATTCTGCTTAAAATATTCTCGTTTTAATTGTATACAAACAATTAAACTCAATTTCTCGTTGATTCGCGTAGCTTCAGATTTTTTATCTCTTTGAAAAATCTGAGATGCGTGAGTCGTGCACGATGAATCCGAGATCTAATTGCGTGTGCGTAAGTCCATCACCAATTGGCAAGAAGTTAAGCACCGTTAGATATACGTCGGCGCGTGAAGAAAAAAAACGCGCACGCGTTCGCTCATAATTCCGTTCGCGTTGCACGTTCTTGTTTGCCAAGGAGAGGATCAACAGCAAACGGATAGAGTGGCATTTGCTTTGCTAATTTATCCATCTAGATAAACGGTCGCCGCCGATCTCGGCTCGAAAGTAAAAGCGTGGCGAAGCGCGCCGTTGCGCAAACGCAAATCGCGAAACGATTCCGGATCTGCAGTGTCAGAAAAAAAAAATCACAAAAATGCGCTCAAATGCGGCAAGAAGTGTTGGCCAGGTGCGCTTAGGTGATTCCTAACTGTTGCCTCGTCATTGTTCGATGTTGGAGCGCAGAATTATTATGTCGGTTTTATTACGCGTGGAAAATCGCCGCATCTGAAATTATCGGTGTGTGGATTTAGTTTTATTTTTTTCTAATAAAGATTGATTTATATTGAAGATAATTTGAAGAAGAGAAAATTATTGTTTTTTTTTTTCGAATGATAATTATTTCATGAATATTGAAATCGACAAACTGGAAAATCCGGCGAGAAATCCATTTGGAGTTTAACTTTCTAACACTTTTGAATTTTTTACTTTTTTTGTTTGTGATTTGCTGCGCGAGCTGGTTTGGCGACTTTGGGAGTAATAAACTGTCTCGCAACAAGATGAAGAGCTCATCTTCCCATCTCGAAGAGAGGCGAGAAAGTGAAATTTCTTGATACATAAAACATGAATATCTCCATTTCAAGGATATTAATTAATTTAAGAGAAAAATTAACAGCTGCAAAAAAGAATTAAATGAAAACACGACTGCCAGGCTATTATGAAGCTATTAAAGCGAATGTAATGAATAAATTATTTTTCGCGAAAAAATACGAGAATAAATTCTCGTAAAAACCCGATCCGTTATTTAAACAATTTTTATTAGTGCTGATCTCCGATCCGATATTTATCTACACTTTTCTTTGCATTAGGCCGTATTTTATCGTACATATTATTCTTAACACTGATTGTCTGAACATTTTATGAATCTTAAGGTTACTCTCTCTTTGCAATTAATACATACGATTATATATTGTATTCCGTTGCCGTATAATTTTATCACTTTCAATTAAATGGAAAATAATTCAACGTGTGAACATCAAACGCAGTGATATTATTGTTGAAATGTTGCATTTATTTCACCGCGATGGAATATTTTCATATATATTCATCGCGCAGCCGGATGCAGCAGAAGCGCATCCGGAACTTGCGGCGCGATACTTGTCCCTTCCGCGAGAATACATAGTGGAATACATATAGAAGCAATGTTGCGCCGGTACAGAGGCATTCATTAGATATCTCGTTAAAGCACAGCGCACCGCGCCTTTTCCGCATGCGTTTTTTTTTTGTAACGGCGAGCGTATTATTAGTTGCGCGTGCTCGCTCGCGCGATGATAATTGCGTATTAATGCCAGATCGAGTAACGATCGCGCGTATTACCGTTTCTGTAGCAGGAGCCGAGACCGGAACTCGACACCAGCAACGGAAGCAGCAACGGCGGCGGCAGGCCGCGATTCGTTCCCGTCACTGCTTTGGAGGACGTGCAGGCGGTGCGTTGCGCCGAATTCCACCCTCACGGAAAACTCTACGCCGTAGGATCCAATTCGAAGACGCTGCGGATATGCGCCTACCCGAAGCTGCACGATGTCAGGTGAGAATTATATTATTTATTTACGAAATTCAGGAAAACAAATATTTATAGAAATAATAAATATATTTGTAATTATGAAATTTATTCCATAAATCGAACGAAGATATCAAAATTGTGATATAAGGGTCTTTAAAGAAAAGAAATTTAAATATGTTCCACTTTATCAAAACTGATATCAATTTGATTTGTTTCATCGAGAGAAAGAGAGAGATTTATTTATCAGAAGTTCAATTTTTGCATTTATTTATGTGTGTAATTGATTTTTTGGATTTTTAGAAAAAACCATTTTTGCTCCAAAAACAGATTTGAAACAATATCAAAACTGTAATGTAATCTGACAATTTTTGAAAAAATTTATAAACAAATTTTTGAGCTATACAGATACCTGCTAGAGTACAAAATATTACCATATATCAGAGTTTTTTAATATCTTTTTTCTAAATGAACAAAAGTAACCCTGGACATGAATCAGCTTTCATCCACAAATTTTGGAGACAATGTTTTCTTAATTCTATTTTAGAATCGTTATTTAAAACCCACAAAATAATTTTAATTATGTACATTAATATTACTTACACGCGATAATTTTACGTTATTTTTTTACTACTTGTGTCCGTGTGATCTTAATTTATACTTTCATCGAACTCTTACTAATTAAATATTTCAAAGTTAAATAAAGCGATTTCACTAAATGATTTTTTTTTAAATATGCGTTAGTAATAAATTTATAATATTGAACTTTCTACAAAGTGCACCTTATATCAACTATGCGGAAATTCAAAATAGGTGGAACCTGCTTTCGTAATCTAACGTTCGAAAAATTAGTAAATTATGATTGTGAATTGCGGAAATAACGGGATAATCTTTTTTCTTTCATCCATAAAACGTGCAATATTTCGATGCAAGATATTTCGAGATAGCATGTCTAATAATATCTACTTCGCGTTAGCAGTTTCTTAACAAATTTTATTATACGGTATCACTGTATCGCTACCTGCGGTCTTACGCAAAAATAATAAATGAGTCGCTTTCAATTAAATTCGATTATTGAAAAATTCAGTTTCCGAGACGGTCATCGAGACGCGGGAGAGAAATCGAATGAATTTATATTCACGCGCTTCCGCAAAAAGCGGGAGAGAGTCGTGATACATTTAGTGTGGTCGAGGCGAAAATAACCATAAATTATAATAATAATTCGAAGATCAATTCGCGATCGTTATTGAAAATAGAGGAGAAATTTATCGATGACAAAATAATTTCGCGTTTTGCAGAGCAGAGTTTGCGGTCCAAACGATAAATCCGGCGTAGCCAGATTCGGTGCTATTTTTATTTTTCATCGCGGATATATTTTGGATCCTTTATGTAGGCTCGTCTACAAAAAAAGATTATGTACGAAACACGAGAGAAATCACGGCTCTTACAGCGGAACGCGTCACGCTATTCAATGAGCTCGGCTTATCTATTATCTAGGCGCGATGATATCAACGCAACTTCGCTGCTCGGAGTAATTAGAACAGAGATTGTGAATAATCTAATGCGTTCTTCTACGTTGCTTTCTTGGCGCGAACTATATAATTTCAGACGAATATTACAATTTTAATAAAGTCTATGTACGTAATAACACGTTTAGATATAATAATACACGTGCTAAAGATATATATTTTTGTTGTTGAGATTATTACTGAATGGCTTTCGAATTTACGTTAGATAAAGAATTACTTTATCTCTACAAATATTTTAATAAAGAATTTTTTTTTTCAGATTTTTATCAAGTTAGGTATTTACGTAATAAATATTATCAAACGAATCAGGAAATATTATCAATGGTATTTTAGCTTTTCGAAAAAAATGACTAGTGAGAAATAAATTCTTATTTTTAATCGCATGTTTTTTAAGAAATTAAAAAAAATAACGCTATTTAAGAAAACGATAACAATAATCTTCATTATGTAAATCGACTGTGTAATTGACGAGACATGATTGTCACTCACGCTTGACAAAAAAGCTTTGCCATCAAATTTGAGACAAATCGTGTAATCGGTTTGCGTCTGCTAAATTAATTTTACGCGAACATGCCGGCTTAATGAGCGGCAGAGACCTTTATGCCAAACGGAGCATTTCTACGTGTATAGCGTAAACGTGAAGCTTACTACTGGTACAGTAAGTACCATTTTTTCCATTAGCGGTGTTTCCACGCTACATCATATTTCTGTTTACATCGTTCGTGATTTACAATATTTTATTTTGTATGTCGCATTTCTAGAGCGAATCTTCATAATTTTTAAACGGGAATTTTATTTATAAGAAATCCGATTCTTAATTAAAAGAATAAAAGAATCCGATTCTTAAAACTCTTCTTTCAGAATACAATCTGAAAAAATTCTATAAAGATTAAGCGAAATTCTTGTTGCACGGTTGAGTGACATCTGAATCACAGCTGATGGAGATTCATGAAATATGAAGAGCAATTAGCTGCTTTACGGTTTATAGCAATAACAACCGAAGAATATAAAGTAATCGAAAGTGTGAATAAGTAACCGAGTAACAATTCCATGAACAAAGAAAAGGCAAAAGTTTTATTCATATAAATAAAACGTGAACTGGAGAATTGCGATGTACTTTCATTTTTGGAAGATAATATTTTATTTTAATTCGAGATATATTGTGTCGACTTTGCATTACAAGGAGGGATAATAAACAGTCCCCTTTCACTCGCAGAATTACGTCTATAGAATTCAGTCGGGATTGCTCGTTTTACATGACGCTGTTCCGGTAAATTCAACGAGCTGTAATTGGTGTCCAAAGTCAATAACATAACGCGCGCACAGTAATTTCTATTCATCCGTTTGTAACAAAGGATCCTAAAAGTGCCGCGTTCGCGATGTTGCTTTATTCGCGCGAAACGACTCTCCTCGTCGAGAAAGTTCGAGAACTCGAGAATTTATATTCGAATTAGCGGAAAGTGGATAAAGCGTGCGACGTACTCGTTACGCACATCTTGCGTAACTGTATTATGTACTTTCGAAATTACTATTTGATACTATAGGTAGGTATATATGAACAATCATCAAACGCAAGGATCATTTCTCGAATATTTCCGCGTGCGTTTATTTTAGACCGTAATCATGAGGTGTGAACAGTAAAATTCATACTGTTGCAATTACGAGTGGCAACGCAATTAAGTAAAATTATTAGTGCTGAAGAAGGTCTAAAAATAGACTGAAATGTTTGCTTCATATTATTTAAAATTATTTAATAAATTTAATTAGTTTTTGCGCCTTAATTACTGCGCATGGCTCTTGTTGCCATTTATTCATGTATCTTATTTAATTAAAATTATTAGTCTCCAGAGAAAATTGTTTCTAGTATCATGACACTTTTATGTTGCAAAAAAAATCAAAATCAGTGACATTATTTACGAGAACTCGATTATTAAGTAATTCTATCTATATGATTATTCTATCTCTAAATCAGGATTCTATTGTTTGATGAAATTACCCCGAAGTTAATGATATTTACGTCATTGTACTCTGATGATAAAAATCTAGGATTTCGTTACGTCTATTGTCAAAGCAATATCTTGTTGGCAGTAGATAGTACACTATAACATATACTATTGACACTAGAGAGAAAAGATATTTGTTTAACTATTGTGTAAAGTAGAACGGATACATGGATCGCTCATTAAACACTCTAGCTTATGAATTATATGAAGAAACAGAAATGTGTTAAAAGATATAAGAACGAATAATGATAGTCGTTAGTAGCATCGTTAAATTAGGTGTACATGATGAGTACGTACGTGACACATCCATCATTTGATGGATAAGCGAGAGTGCATCTCTACATCTGTCACTTGAAACGTAAGAACGAAAATTTTTCTATATCTTTTTTATATTGGCATATTAATTTTTTTCGCACAACTTTCACGTCAACTTTCAAAATATGAAGAATTACGTAGCTGTCTCGAATGTTATAGATAATAATGCTCCAGCATAAGATTTCTACGTAGCGATATACAGTAGCTTATGAAGCATCGTTTGAAATCCGACAGTCATCTTCCTTGATTTTAATTAAACGAGATACAGGATATCTCAAAAGTAAAATAGCTACATTTAGCGATTAGAGATTTCATACTTAATCATTTGCAAATCTGATTTTTTGAATTTTTTTATTTAATTAATATTATAATTAATTGATTAATTTAAAAATATAAAATAATTATTTTAATCGATTAAAATTATGATTTAAAAAAATTGCCATTTTTCTGCGATCTTAGGTGCGCGCATGCATTTTAGTCTTTATTTTTTTATATTTATAATTTTTTATCAAAGATATAAATTTTTAATTATAATTATTATAATATGAATTATATGTAATAATTTGTATAAATTTTTTTATATTTGATATTAGAAGATTGCTTATAAGTATCAGGGCGGAGAAATTTCCAATATCCTTACATGTTCCTCGAATATTGTACGCCGTAATTTACTTGTATTACTCTTATCACTTAATACGAGTATCTTCAACTATGTTGTTATTGTCCATGGAGAAACTGCCTTGAGGAATAATTGTATCGTCACTTTCGAAAGTCGTTTCCCTTCGGCGCTCGCTGGAAATTGCGGCAAACAGGAGTGACGTTAATTTCGCGCATCATATTCCGAATAGACTCAAGGGGGCTAATAATAATTAACAGGGAAGATTTTGCAGGGAACGTTTCTTTCTCTCTCTCTCTCTTCTTTTGATCGGTAGACACGGAGGGAAGTAAAATACTACGATCTCACATGCATCAGTCTGGCGCAAAGAGCTGGGAAAGAGCTGTGCTTAATTAAAATCTGCGTAAAAACCAGTGTCGTGAAAGTGGTAATACATCTCTTCTCTCTCTCTAAAATTGTCGAACCTCTCCCTCGTTTCCACGGTCCGACAATATACCGCGATATATCGACTACGATTAGAGATGACGCGGCTGATGAGGGCTGGGAACGAAGAAGAAGAAAAAACAGCTCGATGAAAGTGATGCCTGGTGCGAGAACTCGAGCATTTTTCCTTCTCTATCGGATAGATTGATGACTCGGGCGGAATAGAATCTCCTTTTCAAACGAATGATTTATGTATATCGTTGCGAATCGGCGAAATTATATGTTTATTACTTATCATTCCAGGTGCTAATGATAATAATGAGTAATGATATCGCGTGTGTTTTCAAGGGAGGATCATCAGACGTATCAACCCACTGTTCTCTTCAAGCGAACGAAGCATCACAAGGGCTCCATATATTGTCTTGCGTGGACACCGGATGGTCGACTGATGGCAACCGGAAGCAACGACAAGACCGTGAAATTGATGCGATTCAACGCCGATACTTCGAACCTTGAAGGTAATCGCAGAAATCAGATGTAATCTTGGTATTCATACGTGTCTTAAAAATCTTAGAATGAGCCTTACAAATTATAGCTTCAATTCATTTCCATATCAAATTCTATAGACATTGAGATGTCTATTAATCATTGTTCTTTTGCATTATTTTCTTGAATCTTGAAAGAAACATTTGTTTACTTTTACTGCAATATTTTATTATTCTCGAGCAGATTCATTGAAAATTGATATTCCTCTAATCTTGCAAATAAAATAAAAAATTAATTTTAATTTCCAGGACAAGAGGTCGAATTGACTATGCACGACGGTACAGTGCGTGATCTGTGCTTCCTCGAGGACACGTCGAACAAGTCGAGTCTTCTGATCAGCGGCGGTGCTGGCGATTGCAAGATTTACGTTACCGATTGCACGACCGGTACACCTTTCCAAGCCTTAAGCGGCCACAGTGGCCATGTGCTAACACTTTACAACTGGGGTGGAGCGATGTTCGTCAGCGGATCGCAGGATAAAACAGTCAGATTCTGGGACTTGAGAACGAGAGGCTGCGTCAACATGGTCACACCTGCAACGGTACCTGGCAGTCGGGTTAGTTGGTTTCCTCGTTGATATTCCCGTTCAATTTTTTACCGATCGTTACGAACTGTAGATAGCGGAAAAACATTGTTTTTCGAAAAGAAAGCTCGAAGAGAGAAGAGTAAAATTTTCTAAATTTATTGATTATATTAAAAATTATTAATGGAAAAATATAGTTTATATTATTTTCGTTATACTTGTCTATCTACATGTATCAATCGTACAGATCGAAAATCTCTACACGACCATTTCAAATGGAAATTAGAATAAATAGGAATTAGAAAAAATTGTCCTATCATTTTAAATCGGTATGGGTCGCGCCAACATCTATTTTCTGTTCTGTACTAGTTTCGTATTGAGTTCTAAGTCCGATAAATATTCGATTTAGTTTTAAATCGCACTATCATCTCTCCCGATCGCAGAACATTGATCACCTCTTTAAAATTGAATTTTTATCGGACATTTTAACAGTACTGAAGAGTGGAAGCAGTATTGTTTGTCTGATCAGCATTTGATTCCGTTGCAGGTCGGCAGCCCCGTAGCCGCGCTATGCGTGGATCCGTCTGGTCGGCTTTTGGTGTCCGGTCACGAGGACAGCAGTTGCGTTCTCTTCGACATTCGCGGCGGCAGAACGGTGCAGTGTTTCAAACCTCACGCGGCGGATATTAGGAGCATACGATTCTCACCGTCGGCGTATTACTTATTAACGGCGGGATACGACAACAAACTGGTGCTTACAGATTTGCAAGGTGGGTCTCTTAATGAGTCTCTCTTTGAAACGCTTTTCGTAACGCTGAAATGATCCAGCAGTAACATAATGTAAATAAGAGTCATGATGATAGAGTAATCACAATGAAATGCACTAAACTATGTTGCAGGTGATCTTACGATGCCTCTACCTAGCGTTGTGGTTGCCCAACATCAGGATAAAGTCATCTCAGGACGTTGGCATCCGACGGAATTTTCGTTCCTCAGCACTTCCGCTGATAAAACTGCAACTCTTTGGGCCTTGCCGCCTGTTTAAAGATCCAGCATGATAACGCGCGCATTGCTATTTATTAATCCGTTTTTTAAAAGAGTATTTTGATTCATCTACGTTGTTTAGACGTGTTGATTTATATCGAATCGATCGCGTAAAAAAATTCATTTTTTCAAATTCTACGACGGACATTATGACGGTAAAACAAAATGAACAATTTCGAGCGATATCAATATTCTAACGTATCTATGTATCAGCGCTTAATTTAACTATGACCACAATTCAAACTTCTTTAATATATGACAGCGCCATTAACTCGCAGTGAGGTATTGCGAAAATTAAGCATTTAAACGATTTAAATCTAATGATTTAAAGACTCAGCTGAAAAAAAAGGATAAAAAAACGTTAACCAGATATGTATTGTAAAAGTATAGGATTGTTTTTATAGTTATAAATTTGATACCGGAAATCACAAGACTGCAAATGAATAATTGCTTCGACATTGCTTTATAGCTATACGAAGCATATATTGCGAGTTTGAAATATTTTCTTTTTACATAATATCGGGATAGGTTTTCAGAGATTTTAACAGATGTTCTTTCCACGAATAATAACGCACGCGTACTTATCAAAACCGCGCGATGCGATATATCCTTCCCTCCCTTTTTAAATATAATTTTGTTATAATCAGAGATGCCTGATATTTTGTAAATACACGTTAAAGTAAGTTAAAAAAATTTCGTAACACGATATTCGCACATCTGTGCAAAGGACGTACTAATTTCTTATTGAATTCTCTCTTACTTTTGCTCAGTAGCACGTTATCTGCATCTGCGTTTTATAACGTTTAGAGAGATTTGATAGATTGTCCTATTTGTTATTTTATTCTTGTTTTACTAAAAAAAGCGTTGCTTTTTTACGTAATTTGCGTGCGCATACGTTCAACTCATAGATGCTCCTACTTCCATCTCCATGTTATCGACTCACAAGCCAAATATACACACGCGTTCTAGTATACATAGATATATTATACTTATATTATATCCGCATTTTCGCGAAGAAATTATATACGTATGCTCATATTAATCGCTATTTTTACGGATTAAGATAATTAATATAAAACGAGAGAGAATTTATTCGGAGCATCGAACAATTTGTCGCGATACATGAGTACGTTTACACAAATCGAAGGAAGATAGTATTCTTTAGTAATATAAAGTCATAAGGACTAACAATTAGAGTTTTAAGTTGCTTGTCGCAATCGTCAAAGTTTGTAGTAGCAGCGAAACTAAAACAGATAGAAGGAGAAATGTTACGTTTCGAACTGTTGATAGCAATTTTTTTCTTACAATTATAGCAATTTGATGGGACGAAGTTTTTCTGTAAATATATATAGTTGGCAATTGAACTCGCTAATCCTTCGACTTTATCATTAATCTGTCGATGCACGCAATCATATCATTGCTTATTTTTTATCCCTATTTCGACATCGACGCTCTTAAGAGCGAGTTTCACTTTGTCCTATTAGCGTATGTTTTTCGGCGTACGGACAAATCATATCTTAAGATCGCGTATGTATTCGAAGAGAATGGAAAAGTGATTTATAAGATATATTAAAAGCAAAGGAATGATAAAGGAAAAACGGGTGAATGATACGCAAGTAGAGTTAATCGCTCGCCAAATGAATTTCACGATTTTTCGCCTTCAATTATTCGCAAGATCGCGCGAAGTGTGATTTTGTGTGATTCAAATTGATTAAAGTTATTCAATGAGTTATCTGTCTTTTATAAAATAATTTATAAAATTAATGTGTTTTATAAAATCTTTTATAAAATTAATTATCACGAACGTTTCATTCTGCATAAATTTCTTAAATATTGTCGCGAATTTTAAAAATTTATTATTCTTACAGAAATTCGAAACTTTGCGAATATATAGATAATCAATACAGATAACCGAGTAATAGGCGAATGTTTGCATTTATTCTGATATAATTGCAATTTTTACAGTAATTCTGCGTGTTTCGTCATTCATTTAGTCTTGCTATTTAATAGATTTGTCTTCCCGCTTCGCGCATATTTTGCGATGATTGACAGAAGAGATCAGAGAATAACGTTGGCGAGCAAACGGAATAGAATGAAAGCAATTATTTGTAATTCAACGCAAGCATCTGCTTCCATGTAGCAATTTATCGTGCCTTCCTGTCGTGGCTGCTTTCGGCGATTCACACATTTATTTTTGTATTTTTTTGTGAACTTTTTTTCTCCTCCACCCTCGCATTTTCACATCCCTACAATAATATTCTTCCTCTTCCTCCCTCCTCCCATCTCGTCTCACAATTTATTCAAACGAGTTCGTAAACGTCTAAAGTAAAAAAAAAAGTCTCTCACTATCTCGTACTCGAGTATTACCGCATAACGCACTATATACGTATAGTATATAACTTATAACTTTGTACTTTTCTTGTAGATACGATTATATGTCACGTTTAATTTAAACAATAAAATTTACGTTATTAAACCGGTTGTATTGATAATAATGCCTGAAGAACCCATCAAAGTTCCATCAGAAGGTCCGCCGCTAATTTTATTCGGGCCAGTTTTTTTCAAAAGTTCCGGTAATCGGCTCGATTAGGCCCCCGTAAGAGAGAAATTACGTCGGATCCGTATATATATACCAAAGGCGTATACAATATACAGAGCTCGATCGACTTTTTATAAATTTCCCATAATAACTGTAATCATGCAATCATCCACCCGCATGTATTACCCATGGCGCCGAATTCGGGCCCAGTTTCCGTGAAATAGAAAGTATATCGCGAATGAAACCGTGACCAGTCTCGAAAGTTTTAATGAGAATCGTTTAATAGAGACCATCGGCAATTTTTCGACGCTTAGGGGTAGAGACGCTTGTTTTCATCGATTATTATGGAAAAACTGCCCTTGTAATATATCACGTTTAGAGCGCGACTGTATTAAAACAGGTCAAAATTTTTGATCGGACGGCTTTCGCGGAATTGAACAAATAATTTGCTCTAAAGAAAGAAGTATAATGATGCAATCGCATCAGAAAAAAATTATCAAAATAATAATGTAATATAACATTTTATATTATAAATAAAAAATATATTATTTTATACAATATTTTATATCATCAATACATGATATATCATTTTGTAGTATCGAGACTTGCATACAGATGCAAGAAAAAAAAAGACAAAGCGAAAAACTGTCAAAATAATATATTTTCTATTGGACTCGTCCTCTTAAAAATAAATGTCTCGTTTATTAACTAACGAGCTACATCGAAGTCAGCAAGAAGAGAAGAGGAATGAAAGACAAGCGTCGCGGCGACCGACTCGTTGATCTCCAGATCTTAACTCTCGGTGTCCCGAGAAGCATACAACATTTTATATTATAAATAAAAAATATATTATTTTATACAATATTTTATATCATCAATACATGATATATCATTTTGTAGTATCGAGACTTGCATACAGATGCAAGAAAAAAAAAGACAAAGCGAAAAACTGTCAAAATAATATATTTTCTATTGGACTCGTCCTCTTAAAAATAAATGTCTCGTTTATTAATTAACGAGCTACATCGAAGTCAGCAAGAAGAGAAGAGGAATGAAAGACAAGCGTCGCGGCGACCGACTCGTTGATCTCCAGATCTTAACTCTCGGTGTCCCGAGAAGCATACAACATTTTATATTATAAATAAAAATTATATTATTTTATACAATATTTTATATCATCAATACATGATATATCATTTTGTAGTATCGAGACTTGCATACAGATGCAAGAAAAAAAAAGACAAAAGCGAAAAACTGTCAAAATAATATATTTTCTATTGGACTCGTCCTCTTAAAAATAAATGTCTCGTTTATTAACTAACGAGCTACATCGAAGTCAGCAAGAAGAGAAGAGGAATGAAAGACAAGCGTCGCGGCGACCGACTCGTTGATCTCCAGATCTTAACTCTCGGTGTCCCGAGAAGCATCCCCGGGGCGAGGACCCACCCACGAAATTCCTGCGCGTCTGTCGAGAGCCCATCTGTCGATTCGACGAATTCGGTTGGTTTGCGTTTCGGGATTTTTCGAAATCCTCACCGCGGGCCAAACGATGAGCTCTAATTACCTTCGGTGCGCGATGATGGACTCGAGAAGCACGGACACATTTCTCGAGTCCCTGGGGATAAATGTGGTTTCTATTGACCTTACCTATCTACTCAAATCGGATACTACACGTCTTCAGGAATGCCCTCCAAGGTGCGACGCCTCCTCGCTAATTTCACGTTCTTACTGCGGTTTATTCGACGGTCTTCAGCAATTCGCATTTTTAGAATTCCAGATAACTATTAACTTGTATATGGTAATGTTTGCTAATGCCGAAAAGAAAGTGAGTTCTTTAATATATACCTTGCGAAACATCTTTGGCATTTTTGATCATTCTATGGCTTTGGAATTTCAATATTGTGTGTGTACGTGTCGTATATGAAAGATATAATTTTTAAGATTAGATTGCACGTAGAAAATACTAATTTTATATTCTACTTTCATAGTACTTGTCAAGAGGAATAAAATCAATTCAGAACGATTTAAGTAGAATATAAGGAAAAATTAATAAGGCACTTTGCGTTGAACGTATAATTTTTTTCCACAGAAAAGGCGACACATCATTGGGAGACGTGATAAAAATAATGAAGCAAATATTTTTCCGAGAAGAATCCCAAAGAATATTTTCTTAATATCCTCGCTAAACCGCTCGATTAAAAGAATTAGCCGCTTAGAGCTAGGTATAGGGATTTGTGGTCGGCATCACGAACAAGTGATTTTGCGCTTACGAGCAAGAAACAAGGAACTTAGGAAGAAGAGGCGCGCGATGATGCATTAGGCTAATCGCGCCGTTAAATAATTCATCACGCACGAAGCATTCAAATTAATAACGTATTAGGAGAATCACCTCCAATCGAGAGCTCGAGCGCACGAATTGCTTTGTATACTCTATCATTTCCACAGAGGTTCTCATATACTTCTTTACCTCATCGTGACAGTCTCTTCGACATCATTGACTCGTTTCAAAATTCTATTATCTAATATTACATTATTTATTATTTTTCTTACATTATTCGGAACTTAATTAAAACGATATATACGGGAATTCAATGTGAAAAGCACCTAAATCTATTAAAATAATTCGTCTTTCTGCAATTAATTGTAATGTAAAATGTACAAGAAAAATTAACTTATCTTTTACATAAAGTAATTTAAAGACTAACATGAAATAATTAATTGATATTTTAATGTTTGACAAAATATTTAAATATTTTTCATCTATGTAAGAAATAAATATTTTAATCTTTAATTTTTATACAAGTGAAGAAAGTGAAAATTATAAAACATAAATACTTATAAAAATAAAACTTTTTATTATACGTTTATTACATTTATTAAGGAAGATCTTGATACATATGAGAAAAATTCTGACATATTGCACGATGCTAAAATAATATTAATATCTTTATATAACTTTCCTCGTAAAATAAAATAAAAATAACATTTATACCAAGTTTATTTTTTCTATATAGGACGAATTCTAAATTTGTCGCACAGCTATCGATCAGAATTAGAATCACTTTTGATACTCTTTCATTGCACAACACATTTAATGTTATTCATTCGCATCATCATAATATTCTATATCTCTTTTATTTTTTACATGACAAATTTACTTGATCAATGATTAAATATCTAAAACATTCTTTCTCTCATTGTTTAATCTCGTTGCTAACATATGATATTCACTTCATTTGATATCCAAGCTATTCTATATCTCTCTTATTTTTTACATGACAAATCTTGGTCAAATTTATTTGATCAATGATTAAATATCTAAAACATTCTTTCTCTCATTGTTTATTCTTGTTGCTAACATATCGAGGTATACATCTCTCTTATTTTTTATATCTTTCTTATTTTTTACATGACAAATTCACTTGATCAATGATTAAATATCTAAAACATTTTTTCTCTCATTATTCAATCTCGTTGCTAACATATGATATTCACTTCATATGATATCCAAGCTATTCTATATCTCTCTTATTTTTTACATGACAAATCTTGGTCAAATTTATTTAATCAATGATTAAATATCTAAAACATTCTTTCTCTCATTGTTTATTCTTGTTGCTAACATATCGAGGTATACATCTCTCTTATTTTTTATATCTTTCTTATTTTTTACATAACAAATTCACTTGATCAATGATTAAATATCTAAAACATTCTTTCTCTCATTATTCAATCTCGTTGCTAACATATGATATTCACTTCATATGATATCCAAGCTATTCTATATCTCTCTTATTTTTTACATGACAAATCTTGGTCAAATTT